ACTTTTTTTTTTTTAAAGAAAGTACTATAGTGTACAACCAATAAAAAGAAAGAGTCATAGAGAAGGCGACATTTAGGCTGGATCTTGGAGTGTGTAAAATAATTGATTGGACAAGAAGGAAGAAAGGAACATTGTAAGCAGAAGGACCAGCTTTAGCAAGGCTATGGGAGGTAGGACAGTATAAGATCTTTCTGGGTAACAGGAAGTGTAGTTGGAGCCGATGATGCATGGGGACAGTGTGATGAAGTTGAGACCCACAAGATGAGGTGCAGCCACACTTTGAAGAACTCTGACTGTTATGCTGGGATATCGGAAACATTGGCGTTGTGTGTATTTCAGAGCAAGCTCTGGTGGCACTGTGGAAGGTGAAATGGGAGGATGGAGAGACGAGCAGCAGGAAAGCAGTTAGGAAGTAACTGGAATAGCCATAGTGAGCATCCTCGTGCTCAAAGCAGGGAAGTGATGGTGAGAATGCTAGGGAGAGAGATCTGAACGACACTTGGCAATCTGTTGATTCCAGGTATGAATCAAAGGAAGTAGTCAAATGACTCAGATGTCTAACTTGTGATGACTGAGGTCTCTGATATCAATAAGGAGTGCAGTTGAACAGTTTAGGACATTTCTTCAGTAAAATATGTATTGAGCAGCTACTACATGACAGATACAGTGCTAGGCACTCGGAAGATAGCAGGAAACAAGATCAAGTCCTTGCTCTTAACAGGCTTCTAATAGAGAAAGGCAGGCAATAAACAAACTGGAAAATAAATTATCTATGTTGCGCTTGACGAGTCTGTGCCACATTAAAGAGGAGATGCCTAGGAGACAGTTGAATATTCAGCCTAGAGTGCAAGGAGAAATAAGATCTAAAGATAGCACACTGCCCTAGCTGGTTTGGTTCAGTGGATGGAGCGTCGGCCTGGGGACTGAAGGGGCTCGGGTTTGATTCTAGTCAAGGGCACATGCCTGGGTTGCGGGCTCGATCCCCAGTAGGGGGCATGCAGGAGGCAGCCAATCGATGATTTTCTCTCATCATTGATGTTTCTATCTCTCTCTCCCTCTCCCTTCCTCTCTGAAATCAATAAAAAATATTTTTTTAAAAAAGCAAAGTAATCTATAATATCTGGTAACTCAGCTTTTTTTGATCACCTGTTTTAGCTACCATCGTCCATGATGCTGAAGTTTGAGAGGAACTAAACAACCCCCCAAAACAGGGCTACTTTGCTGCTTCAGTCTCCAGAATGACATGGCGGGAACTTCAGCGCTTACCAGCACAGCCAGGATTGAGTCTTCTGGGGTGAACAGCACTTCTATGAATGTAGCGTTTCACTGGAATGGATTCGCATGTGCTGCCTTGAGCAAAACTGAACTCTGTCAGTGCTTTGAACCTTTTACTGTTGCAGCATACTTGAGGGGTATTCCCTCACCAGCCACAAACGTTCTGGGCCACTTGCAGGTTCCGCGTTTTGTTGGCTGCACCACACCAATGTGACTACCTGTGCTGAGGCACAGTTCGCACCATTAGCCTTACCTGCTCTGTCCAGCTGTGAGACCCACTTGTGTAGGCGCTAAATTCCAGCCATTGAATCTAGTTGGTGGTGGGGAAAACCGAGAGGGCCCCACCTTCTAGCAAAGGGGTCCCCACTTCTCGGGGAATCTTCCTACCACACTGGCATGTCAGCCTTGCACTTACCTCTTGTAACAGCAATACCGTCCTCTGCAGGCACAGCCTGAAAGCAGCTCAGGATCTGTCAAGTGCTTCCTTTTTTATTATTATTTTAATCTTGAAGTGATGGAAACTTAGGTTCAATCTCACCTGCAACCAGATTCCAAGTTGGGAAAAGGCAAAAGCATGTGTTTTCTGTATACAAAACCAAAAACGCCTTTATGTTAATGCTAACTTGGCAGAAAACTGACTCATGGCTTAAATGTTAAAAGCTGTTGTACGTTTGTTGCACCAAATGATACTGTAAATCGTTTTGCCCAATAGATACATTCTCCTCCATAAAGCGGAGTTGTAGCAACTCTGTGGGAGTTGCGTGCTATTGGCCCCCACACTTCCAACCAGAATCATAGCAAAGTCCTAGGGTTGTTGGGTGCTAAATCAGGTCTTCGGAGAAGCGATTAGGAGGGGCACAGTCATGACCCACTGCTCCTCTCCTCCTCAGCACAGATGTTTGTCCTCCTGCTGCCCCTCTGGCAGCTTCCACCTCACTCATCCCTACTTTTCCAAGCTGGAGCCAGTGGAGTCGGTGCCTGGCCACTGGCTCAGCCCCCACCCCCTTTTGTAATATATAGTAATATGATTTCCTAAAACAAGATTCAGTTGCTTTCTTTGAATTTTTATTGAAAACCTTACAGCCTTACTGTTTCCCTCTAATTCCTCTCCACACTTAATGGAAGAAAAAAAATAAGTTTCTAGTTAACTAATGAATGTAGCTTTCTCTTTTTAATGTTCAGAAAATTGTGGCTGTTTTATAGATTCCTTCTGCAGTCCCCATTGTTCTGTATGTAATCTTTCAGTAGATTTTTCCTTTTTTCTCCTTTATGTCATGTAAGATTTGGTGAAGTCAGAATATCATGTTAAGACAAAACGCTAAAGTGACCTTAAAAGTAGTGTTCTCTCTCTGTATGGGTAATAGGAGGTATTGGATTTCTCAGTGACTGTCAAATGCTTTATGGCTATAGAAATACACTGGGTTCACATCTCCTTGAAACTAATTACCATGTGGTATGGGGGAAAGATAAGAGACAACTCCACAGTGTTGTCAGAGGTCTGTATATAAGGTGGGAACACATTAACTGCTAACTTGACTTCTAACTTTTCTGTCTCGTTGGTTTGGAGATTACTTGGCTTATGTCAGAATTCTCTGTGGCTTAAGATGACATGTTCAAACCCCTTACTGCCTTTCTCCCCCTAATGTGCCAAGCTTGAAATAGGCTTTGATGTCCTGAGCTTCTGGTTTGCTTTCTATGTGCCACCAAGAAATCTAATTCATCTTTCATCTCATTCATGTTCTTTTGAAACAAGATACTTTGGGGGTCAAGTCTTTTCAGGTGATTTTTATATATATACATATAAATAGAAAGGATTTTGTGTCCTTTCCTTGTAAGTAACAATTTACAGTCATAATGTATAGAAGAAATAAAAGTCTGATGTATTGTACTTTAAAATGCTTCCCTGATGTACAGAATCTCCTTGTAAAATAAGTAATTGCATTGTATATCAGTCTTCCTACCAACATTAATTATTAAAGTATTTTAGAATTTAAAAAAAAACTATACTATTCTGGTATGAAGTGTTTATTTTATATTCTACCTTATTCCAAAAGATTTAAGCCTGCTTAAAAATGATACCTAAAATACTGCTAGACAGCCTCAATGAGAAGTAGATGAGAGGGGAAAGATAATAGTAAGAACATTAAGTGTAGCCCTAGCCGGTTTGGTGCAGTGGGTAGAGTGTCAGCCTGCAGATTGAAGGGTCCCAAGTTCAATTCCGGCCAAGGGCACATGCCTGGGTTGTGGGCTCGATCCCCAGTAGGGGGCGTGCAGGAGGCAGCCGATCAGTGATTCTCTCTCATCATTGATGTGTCTTTCTATCCTTCTCCCTTCCTCTCTGAAATCAGTAAAGATATATTAAAGAAAAAAAGAACATTAAGTGTAGCCAGATACTCAGTCATGTTTGTGAATGACTGCACACATACAGAAAAAGAATAGGCTGCAGAGAGGAAAGCCAACTGAACCCCATAGTATGTACCAGGTACTGCTCTCGGTCCTTTATCCTATTTATCCCACCCCTAGTCTGGGAAGTAGAAATAGACTCATTTTACCAGCAAAGAACCTAAGAGGTGAAGTTGCTTCCCCAAGGTCAAAGCACGTTGTGTGACCACTCTGCATATATTCAAGGACAAGCAATTGCATCCCAATCATCCTTATAAGGATTACTCTGTACGGACCACATATTAGACCACATGCTGGCATCACAATAAGACAGGTCATACCTCATATACTCCTCTCTGGCTAGCAGCCCAGTTTCATTCATGGTGGCCTCACCAGTGACTCACTTTCTACTTGTCACTTCAGAGACTGGCCTTGGTTAGTCCACCACCCTTTACCCAGGATTTAAAGAAACCATGAGTCAGAACTCATGTCATTGGATTCCACCTGCTCCCAAGTTTTCCTTCTAGTCCTCCAAAGAGGCCTCAATTGCCATTACCCTCTTGAGGTTAAGCATTGTTGCCTGTGCACATTGCCCAGTGTTGGCCGAAACAATGAGTTTAGAGTTCTTATGGATTTAGATTACTATATCCCAGGAGAGGGAGGACTGTAGTAGAGTGAGAGGTTTGGAAAACCACTATCAAAAAGGGGAAGTCCAGCCCTGGCTGGTTTGGCTCAGTGGATAGAGTATCAGTCTGTGGACTGAAGGGTCCCGGGTTCGATTCCAGTCAAGGACACATGCCCAGGTTGTGGGCTCAATCCCCAGTAGGGGGTGTGCAGGAGGCAGCCAATCAATGATTGTCTCTCATCATTGATGTTTCTATCTCTTCCTCTCTCTTCTTCTCTGGAGTCAATTAAAATATATATTTTTTAAAAGCCGGGGTGGGGGGGAGGCAAGTCAGTGGATATTTAGTGGGAGGGGATGAGATAAAGTGTACTTATAAAAGATGAGAATGTACAACAGCAAAAAGCCAAGCCCTGAAACCAAAACACAGGCAACCACTGTTTCAATTCCAGCTCCAGGAGGCCTGAGGGCAAAACAGGAACCACCAGCAACCTGGACCACTTACTCCATCTGTCTCTTTTGTGGATACCATTCATTTCTTCCCCCAAGAATTTTTGCTCCTTCATAAAACATCTGACAGGAACAAATGCCCTCAATTCCCCTCCATCTGTTACTGAGGACAACACACTTTATTCATTCATTCATTGGTTTAATGTTTATCTTCTTCCTACCCTAAAAATCTTCCTCTGATCATATTTTCTCTTCAACCTATTGCCCTATCTCCTGCTTTTCCTACACTCCCTTCACATAACCTATTTTAATGTTAAACAAATTTCTGTACAGTCCAAAAGTTGAGCTAAATTGAGTAACAAGTAGAGGAGGAAGACCTGATGGAGAGGTAAACTGAACAGGCTTCTTGACATTAGTTGTGACCTCTGATCTATTTGCATGTTTTCCATTCCTAAAGCCATGTTCATTCAACTCATTAAAATCTCAACTAAATTTAAAATAAAAATGGCTGCCCTAGCCAGTCTGGCTCAGTGGATAGAGTGTCAGCCTGCAGACCAAAGGGTTCCAGGTTTGATTCCCATCAAGGCCCCGGGCCTGGTCAGGGCTCGTGCAGGGGGCAGCCAACCTCTGTCTTCCACTCTCTTCCACTCTCCCTAAAAATCAATGGAAAAAATATCTTCGGGTGAGGATTAAAATAAAAATGGCTTTCCCTGAGGTCACCGGTGATTTCTTAATTTCCAGCTCTTAATGTATTTACTCTGCAACATGGATATTTTAGACCATGTTTCTTGTCCTCAAAACTTCTTCCTTGGCCTCTCAGACACCAGTGTCTCCTGGTTCTCCTCCAATCATGTTTTCCTGTTCTTCTTCCCTGAACACCATTTAAATGACGGGTGTCCATATCCTCTCATCACTCTCCCTGCGTTCCCACGGTGACTTCAGGCAGCACTGTTAATCTGATAACTTTGAAATCTTTACCTACAACTCAGGTTTCTTGCTAGAGCCCAACCCTATCTCCAATCGACCTTTGGAGATTTACACACACACGGGTGGGCAAAAGTAGGTGTACAGTTGTGAGTACCTGAAACAGTTTGTACTTCTATTATGTATTCATGATTGTATTATTTATTTGTGTATACTTTTTCCCACCCCTGTGTATATCCAAATGTTCCCAACATAACATATATGCTCCTTTAATGTCTACCCCCACCGCCTACTTTCTCAATTATCAGAGTTAGAGACAATCATAAGTTCAGCCTCCCAACCCTGAAACTTTGGTTTTATATGCAAGTTCCTCTCTTACCTTGCAGGTTCAGTAGGACAATAAATTCTCTACCTCAGAAATGTCTCTTGATTTGTATGTCTCCTCTTGCCTTGTTTACCATCCAAATCCAGAGTCTGGAGGCCTTTGTAATCTCCAGTCCCTCCAATCCAGTTACAGCTATCCTTTACGTCCAGGGGTCCCCAAAGGTGTGGACGGAGTTGGCGAAGAAGGAAGGACACGGAGGCAGTGTTCAGTTAATCAGCATAGCGAGGTTCTCTCTCCAGGATCTCCAGCCAGGTTCTGTCTAGGTTCTCCAGCCAAGTTCTGTAGCCAGGTTCTGTCCAGGATCTTTTGCCATGTTCTCTCCCTAGGTTCTCTCTCTAGGTTCTGTTTCTAGGTTCTTCATCCAGG